GCAAAGGATAGAAGGAAAGTGCTGGTATAGAGTGACCCCAAAATAACGATGCAATAAGGGTTTTCCCATGAGGTCCCTCGTCATCTATATATAACCATATGCTTGAATTATTTTGAACCTTGACAAGAGAAATTCAGTCATCGTGATATGTGTATCGTTATCAGGATATAAAGTGACCTGTATTGGGATAGGAACTTGTGGTCGTAACGCCCAGCCCTGTTTACTTATTGATGCTGAATTTTCACCCCACATAATTGAGGCTATTGCTTTCTTTAAATATTTGCAAGCAAAGCACAAGTCTAAATGCAAGATTCAGTGTAAATTGAAGTGAATTATAAAAACTTTATTTAAAGATTGTGCTTGAAAACATAACCAGCTTACGGAGTTAGTAAAAACAAACCAAAAATAATATCAGTCAAACCTTTTATTCATCTCTGGTTTATCAAGATTTAGGCACTGTATTTTTCTAAATCCAGCCAATCTGCAGTACTTGTTGTGTTAAACTAGAGAAAGAGACAGTGGAGTCTATCACAGAGTAAACGGTTTCCCTGTAATGGGGGACATTTGTTAGCCCTGGTTGTTAGTGTTTAGTTGATAGAAGCTGTTCCCACTTAAATTTCCCAAATCCACTGAGCCTGTCAGTGGATAGTTAAGAGTTTGTGCTCGGTATCACAGAGCCAGAACGCTGCATAAACTTCAAGGTTTCTGCGCTCACAGGAAAATGTGCCTGCATAATTAAACGAATCTTAAGTCACTCTTCAAGTCTTGGAAAGAAATTAGAGCACAATTCACAGCTAAATTCTCACCAAGCGAGTCTTGGCTCATCGCCTGTTTTGTTTTCTTTTTCTTCCTCCGCAGATACTTGGAGAAGTATGAGAAAGTCCACCACTTCGGCGAGGACGATGAAGAAGCGCAGCCGGGGAATCCCAAAGCCTCTCTTCCAATCGGTGCAATTCCCAGCTCTTATAACTACCAGCAACACAGTGTATCAGGTGAGACTCAGCTTACTTGTTGTGAACACCATATTTAGTACTCAAAAGCTTTCTTATTCATTCTTACTCTGTCTCTGGTCACAAGTTCACCCTTTGTTTCTGTCTCAGTTACATCTGTATCGGGTCCATGGATTCAGTTTCTATTTGTATACTTTCTTGTTTTCTTTCTCACTCAAGTCTATCAGTTCCTCTCTGACGTCCATACTGTCTCTGCCCTTTGGCCAACTCAAACATTTAATCCTCACGCAGATGTGATTACAGCAAAGCATCACTTTATCTGAACTCTGTGTGAGATGCATGGGAAACTGGTCAGCCCACAGGTCAAGCGTATGCATACATGCCTCAACAAGAGCTGTTTGTTTCAAGGATTTTCTAGTGGGTTGAATGTATTTCACAAGAACATGAGGAAGGAAATATGTTAATTGCAAGTTTTGATGAAAGTTCAGATAGCTTTAATGTCTAATAGTGTTGTAAGCTGCAGAGTTTGGCTCCATAAACTGTTTGAAAATCTTCTGTGGTGTGTTAATAAAAACATGTCAGGGTTCATATCCTGTAGTCAGGTCTGCATTCTGCTGCTCTACTGGTGCCTGAACAAGCAGGTTTTTTTTAAAGGAATAGTTAGAGATACAGAGAAATGCACTTCATGTTTTGCCAACGGTTGGATGATAAGATTGATATCATGTCTGTATGCTAAATGTGAAGCTGGAACCAGCTACCTGTTAGCTTTGGACAAAGACAGGAAATTGGGGAGAAATGGCTAGCGTGGCTTTGTCCAAAATAGCAAAATCCACCTGCAGCTTAAAAAAACAGGTGTAAAAACGACCATTTGCCATTTTTAGGTGGTCGTGTGCTAGACTATTTCTTGACTGGCAGCAGTTGCTAGGCAACCTACGCAAAGTTACAGGTCTCAGCCCAGAAATAGTCTGGTACATGACCTCCCGTTAAACGTTGAACTAATCTTTTATCACTTAGGTTTTTGTACGCGTATTGTATTGACAATTTTCTCATCTAACTCTTGGCAAGAAAGTGAATGAGCATATTTTCCAAAATGTCAAACTATTCCTTTAACCATCTAAAACCAACTGCATCACCTGATTGAGCAATGTGATGTGAAATCTCACCTCAGAAGTGTATTATCTCTGTGTAAAGTGAGGTTTGCTGGTACATATCCTTAACTTTTAACAGTTTCTTGTTCTGCTAACTCCAAGCTTCTGAAAGTCCTTTTCTTTTTGTTTCACCTGGTGTTTTTGGCACATGATCTCCATGGTGATTTTTATTCATAATCTCATGACGCAAGTACCTTTGAGCTGGAACGCTAACTATTGAATATCCCAATTGCCTTGTCAGACCGTTTGATTAATTATGCCTCACTAATGCCTGCATTTCAAGAAACAAAGCAATTACTGACATTCAAAATTACAAACAAACCTAGCTGAAGATCCCTGCCATAGCTAAGCTTTCTGCCATTTGGCCATTTCATGAGTCTGCTTATTGTACTTCACATTCATGACTTTTTATTGCCCAGTGACTCATTTAATTCAGTTTTCACCTTGCTAAGCACTGTTGTGTTTGAATCAAGGCTATGAAGCGTACGTTTGCAGTACTTCTTGGTGCCTTCTTTTTTTTTTTCGGCCCACACACCTGAGCATTGACTAGTAATCCAAGCATGCTGCTGCTTTTATGATGAAAGAGCAGCCTCTGAGTAACCACATCATATTTTATACATATCAACATTTTTGTACAACTCGCCAAGGCCAACCTCGTCTCTATTCTCTAACCCCGCTTACTCTCAGCGAATGCGAGCTGTCCATTAGCCTCACAGTGCTGTAGTGTTGACCGCTGAGCTGCTCTCGGAGGTAATTGACTGTCCTGACAGCAGTTATTGATGAAGGGAAGGAGGAAGCACTTGTTGGTTTTCCCTGCACCTCAGTTTAGATTAGAGCCCCCAGCCTTTCAGTCGCAGGCTCTTTTCTCTGACAGTGAGTCCTCTGCCTGCTGAGCTAATTGGCTCCAAAACATGACCGGCGTGGGAAAAGACACACGACCAACAGCGGCGAACTTTGTCTCTGGCTTGCAAGTTTTTCCTCATTCACAACCCAGATGAGTCAGGCAGTAAAGAATACAGTGACCCCCCCCCACAACAGCTGACTTTGCAGTTCTGCTCTTATGGAAAGCTTGCTATAGTAAGTTTTAGCCTTGTTTTGAGTGATAATGCTTGTAGCGCTGTAGGCAAATTTTTTTTAAATATTTTTTTTTGCCGATATACACAGGTTTAAAGCTGCTAA